TTGTGATTGATTTTAGCTACCTTGCGTCGAAATGACTACACCGAGCTGTATGGGCTTTATTCAGGAGTCGACTATATTAAATTGAAAGCGAGGTAAAATCTTCATATTTGGAACTTGCAAAGAGAAATTAAAGCAGTGACATAAAATTAATTACAAATTAATACCAGTCTGCTTTAATGAAAATTTAAATTTGTTGTTAAACATACCCTAATGTTTTTAAGCCACATTTAAAATAAAAATTGAAAGTGAGGCTAGAATGCAAAAATAGTCTGGCACCATCCTATTCAATAGTTTATAAAATACTGTCAGGGAACATGACTAAAATGACTTCCTCGTGAATAAAAATCCATATTCCACAGGAAGCTGAGATTGTATTTGCAATGTTTCATTGGCCCAATGATCAGGGGTAATAATAATGTAAAGCACTTTGATCTTAGTTATTTTAGAAACCACAGTCTTTCCACACTAGTATATTGGCAACACATCTTGCCAAAATAACATGGAGGCATATGCAGTGTGTGCTTGCTGAAATTACATGAGTCAATTGACTAATAAAACCAAATTAGGTTTTGTCCATCACCGATGTATAAACACTGTATTCTCAGTGTGTTTCCTCCCGAGTGAAAGTTGGAAAAAAATCACTCCGGTGGGACTCGAACCCACGACCTCCTGCTTTCTATTGCAGATGTCTTACCATCTTATGAATAGTTAATGTAGTACCCGCTGCTATGTACATCAGATTCGAACCAGCCAACTGATCCCGTTAGCTCGGTGGTCAAGTGGTAAGACATCTGCACTAGAAAGCAGGAGGTCATGGGTTCGACCGGAGTGATTTTTTTCAACTTTAGGGAATGACAGCCTAAAGCATCCTGTAAAATCGTGGCTCCTGGTGTGCTGACATTTAAAAAAAAAAATGGTATTTTTCCAACGCTGGTCGGCCGACCAGCAAATGGAGAAAACTGTTTTTTTTTTTAAAACTACTCCTAATTTTTCATAATTAGTTATTCTGTGTTTTCTGTGCAATTGATTACACACCTTTGAAGGGGTACAAGCCTACTAGACTGCCTCTCTGATCTTACAATCCCCCAAAGTCTATAAATTCTCCGTTTCATCTTAAATGGGGTCTGTGAACCAGACTACAAGAACATGAATGGTTTTCTTGGTTTTTCCAACATCTACAAGCCCAAAACGTGAAACAAGTCATTTTAACAATATTTGCTAAAACATACTAATCCTCCAAATCCATTTATCTCTGATTATTGCAGCAAAAGCAAATGTTGTACATGCCCTTTAACAATATTTTTTATAGCACACTAATCCCCCAGATGCACTTATTTTGAACATTGCAGCAAAAGCAAATGTTGTACATTCCCTAACAAGTTCAACAGTTTGGCTGTTACTTGTAAATGGAAAATCAATTGATGACAATACAAAAAATTGATTTGTCTGAGTACGTCCGGTGTTTTGAGCCAATTTCTACTACAGCAACAAAGTTGGATGAATAATTTCTTCTTTGACTCATCAAAGTAACTAGTGACTAACTGATATGTTTTATCAGAATTAAAATCTACCCCGTGATTATAACTACAATTACATACACTGTTGAATTGCCCAAAATGTACGTCTGACACTGCGGAACTGCCCCCATTTGAACATTATTAAGAGTAAACCTAGTCAAGTTCCCTTGTATTGGGTATTTTAAGTGTCAACAGTTCTTCAAGTTGTCCTAAATGTCTCATCCTTTTCCAAACAAGCAAACAACTCAAGGAATGCCATGGATAAGCCAGTTCGGTATTTCAACTGCTTATGTGCACAACGATATGGGTCACCGGTCATTCGGGATAGTAGAACGATCAAAGGTGCATGAATGCGGGTGCGCGACGCTTGTGTGTAAATTACCACCAGAGTGGTCGTGCGCGTAACATCGCCTAACATCGTGTCAGCAATGTTATCCCAAATGACCTCAGGTCATTGAAATACAGAACTGGTTTATTACAATGAATTACAGTCGGGCATTAGAAGACTTTTGACCCAACTTTGAACATTGCATTTTATTCTGGCAAACAATTATATATCTGCACACACTGTCCATCAGATTTCAAAGGTATATGAAGGTGTAACCTGTAATTTCCAAGACGTCTCATGTTTTCTTCTTACTTGCCTGTCTGGTTTTTTTTTCTCCAGAGGGTGAAATATTGGGTTTAAAAGCCGAAGTGCCAAGCAGACCACAGAACAACAGAACACGGAGGAATGCACAACACAGAGTTACTGCTAACACAAAAGGTAGGTAGAGATTACATACCGGTATGGTTGAGGCAAAGGGTGGTTGATAAAACATTGCAAAGCCAACACTCCTCAGATCTCATACCAACCATATCAGGCCCATTTTTAGTATTTGTTGGTCAGATAAACTAGTGGATCATAGTATTAATACAATGTATGTCAAATCAGGTTTTGCCCTTCATTGATGTATAAACACTGAATACTCAGTGTGTTACCTCCTGAGTAAAAGTTGGAAAAAATCACTCGGTTGGGACTCGAACCCACAACCTCCTGCTTTCTAGTGCAGATGTTTTACCACTTGACCACTGAGCTAATGGGATCGGTTGGCTGGCTCGAATCTGATGTATTGGTACATGGCAGTGGGCATCGCATTAACTATTTATAAGGTCTATGGGATTTTAAGTTTTGTTTAAGCATTAATATGGTTAAGGTTTGTGACTCATGATCAGAGGGTCAGGGGTCCGAATCTAGTTGCCGGTTATATGTGTGTCCTTGGGCAAGCCACTTCCCCCACTTGCCTCTCTCCACCCAGGAGTATAAATGGGTACCGATATTAGCTGGGAAGTAACCTGCAATGGACTGGCATCCTATCCAGGGGGGATAAAAAAATATCCTCGGTCGTTTCATGCCTTTGAAACCAGAGATGTATTGGCTAATGACAGACTTTACTTACTTTCATAGTATTAATAGTAAATATATATATCTGTTGCAGCTTTTGGTAGGTGTGTTGATAATTCCTTGATCAGCTGATGAAATTACCTGTAGTTACTCCCCTGAGAAGTGAGTTTAGTTACATACGTTATCCCAGTAAAGTTGCTTCAATCACGATAATTGATCAGATCATCTCCAAAATGGTGGTTTCTTTTGTCCGAGTCTGTGCCAGCAGGTTGATCCTGTTACCATCCATCAATATTTTCCAATCCTCATTTCAGTCCAACAGCGCCCAGCCCAAAGCTGTCCATCCTGATTCAGACCAGCAGCAGGCAGAGCCAGAGAGTCTGTTGCTACAGATTGAAGCTCTACAATCTCAGATGAAGGAACAAGCTGAGCTATCTAGAGAGCAGACGGAGCCTTGCTGGAGGATCGCAGGGTCAGGATGGAAGAGATGCAGACTGTGATTGAGAGAGATCGCTCCAAGATTCACCCCTCAATGAAAAGTAGGAACTCCCTTCATTGATTCCTTATAATCTTAAATGAACTTGACAAAGGTGCCCAGTGGCATAGCTAATGATAGGGGAGGAGGATGAGGGGCATGGACCCCTCTGCTCAAAGACTGCCTCCTACTAGAAACTGAGGTCCCTTTAGGGCCCTCCAGCAACTTGGACCCCAGTTACATCCTTGAAGGTACCAATAAAGATAAATGCACATGTGTGCAGTTTGGACAACGGGCAGGGGTTTCAAATAGATTATATTACCTGGTGTTTGTGTTGTTGCATGAATTGGCAAAAACATTTTAAATATGTGGAGTGCCCTGGTCTCATTCTACAGGTTGTGGGTTCGAGTCCAGCCTGGGGTTATGGTGCATGTTCCCTTTGGCAAGACACTTTGTCACTCATTGCTTCGCCCCACCCAGGAATAAATGGGTACCTGTGAGAACAGAGATCGCAATTGTGATTGATTTTAGCTACCTTGCGTCGAAATGACTACACCGAGCTGTATGGGCTTTATTCAGGAGTCGACTATATTAAATTGAAAGCGAGGTAAAATCTTCATATTTGGAACTTGCAAAGAGAAATTAAAGCAGTGACATAAAATTAATTACAAATTAATACCAGTCTGCTTTAATGAAAATTTAAATTGTTGTTAAACATACCCTAATGTTTTTAAGCCACATTTAAAATAAAAATGAAAGTGAGGCTAGAATGCAAAAATAGTCTGGCACCATCCTATTAAATAGTTTTATAAAATACTGTCAGGGAACATGACTAAAATGACTTCTCGTGAATATAAATCCATATCCACAGGAAGCTGAGATTGTATTTGCAATGTTTCATTGGCCCAATGATCAGGGGTAATAATAATGTAAAGCACTTTGATCTTAGTTATTTTAGAAACCACAGTCTTTCCACACTAGTATGTGGCAACACATCTTGCCAAAATAACATGGAGGCATATGCAGCCATTGTGTGCTTGCTGAAATTACATGAGTCAATTGACTAAAAACCAAATTAGGTTTGTCCATCACCGATGTATAAAACACTGTATTCTCAGTGTGTTTCCTCCCGAGTGAAAGTTGGAAAAAAATCACTCCGGTGGGACTCGAACCCACAACCTCCTGCTTTCTATTGCAGATGTCTTACCATCTTATGATAGTTAATGTAGTACCCGCTGCTATGTACATCAGATTCGAACCAGCCAACTGATCCGTTTAGCTCGGTGGTCAAGTGTAAGACATCTGCACTAGAAAGCAGGAGGGTCATGGGTTTGACCGGAGTGATTTTTTTCAACTTTCACGGGAGAGGTAACACAGAGAGTATACAGTGTTTATCATGTCGGTGAAGGGCCAAAACCTAATTTGATTTACATCACCCCGACGCAAAATGAAATGAAAATCTTAGAATGACTAATAAGACACTTACCGTTCTGTAAAAAAAAGTAGAATGGTGATCCTTATTCAGCTACCTTGTTAACCATCATACATCACTTGTCATGGACATTCTTCTGTTAATAGGTACATCGTTACCCAGCAGATGTTGTATGACAGCACTAAGGACTATCTAGAGCTGAAGTATGAAGGACGATCTAAGGAGCGAGTCTGGATGGTAGAGAAGGACCGTCT